GATACCAGGTGGAAATATTACTTTTCCCCCAAAAAAATAATAATCAAGAAATAGAAAAGTATAATGAAGTCAAGAATGGGAGTATATATACAGAAGGCCTGTGTGTGTGTGGGGGGGGGGGGGGTTGGTGGGGGGGAGAGGGGGCGAGAAATAAGTGCGTTCAAAATGTGAGCAAAATGAGGGGTGTGTGTGTGTGAGAGAGAGAGAGAGAAACAGTGTTAGGAATCCGCATGGAATCTCGATAAGGCTCCAAACTTCATATCGCCCTTAATTCAAGCTCTGGACGACGTGAAATGTCCCTTCAAGTTGTTCATGTCGTTCAATTTCTATCTTTTTTTGGGGGTGTGTGTGTGTGGGGGGGGGGGGGGGTGAAGGTGAAGGAGGGGTGGGAGAGAGAAAGTAAATGGCAAAGCTCTCAAATTCTCCTTCTTTCTCATTGCAAAGATAACATGTATATAGATATGTATATATATAAAATATATATATTTTTAATCGGAAAGCCGGGACATATTTATTTGTAATTGCATCGAATCAACGCCAAAGTGCAGTTATTTGTTTAAAAATATAACTTTCACCGCTTGAAACGCCCTGAAGAGAGAGAGAGAGAGAGAGAGAAAATAGCTCAATGGCTAAAGCGCGTTGCGAGCGACTTTAAACGAGGGGTTTAATTACTGGGTATCAGTGCGTTAGAGAGAAGCCTAAACAGTCACAGACTGTGTTGGTGGAGGTCTCTCTAATCGCTTTTCATGCTATTATCTCACAGTTAAATCTGCTCCCGGTGCAACTGACTATAAAGTGAGAGTCGCGAAAAAATGCAGCGATTTTTTGTTTGGACTCCATTCACCCCCTCCAACACCCCCCTACCCACCCACCCCCCCCCCACCACACACACACACTCCCCACCTCCCCACTCCCCACCTCCCCACATGCCAAACTTTGTGGTGTTGACCTTTGCAAAAGCAACTCCCATCCACGCACCCCCACAACCCCCCCCCCACCCCCCCACACACACACACCTTTCTTAACAGGGAAAGTTTACGCACACACACCCCCACCCCACACACACCCACACTCCCACACACACACACACACACACAAACAGGAGCTGAAATGAAACGGAATGAAATCCTCACCGAGTTTTGAACGTGAAACGGAGACACACCATCTCAGATCAAACACAAACACCGATTGGTGTCGCAAATCTACAGAGAGAGAACCCAACCAAAGGGAAAAGATCGATGGTTAATATACTTGGCTTAAAACACCTCTCTCTCTCTCTCTCTCTCTCTCTCCCTCTCTCCCCCTCTCTCTCTCTCTCTCTCTCTCTCTCCTCTCCCCCTCTCTCTCTCTCCCCTCCCTCTCTCTCTCTCTCCCTCTCTCCCTTTCTCTCTCTCTCTCTCTCTCCCTCTCTCTCCCTCTCTAGCTACACCCGTGCTGCTGTGTTGAGCTGTGGGTATAAACAGCTGTTGGGTTGTCTGTGTCCGACCCCGACCGACTTTCGGTGGTCTTTCCTTCATATGCAGGAGCGCACACTCGAACACATCTCCATCTCCACCAAACTTGTCCCGCGAAACAAGGCACTCAGGTCAGATGTGTGTGTAACAAAAAAAGACGACACACTCACTCACACACTCACAGACACACTCACTCACACACTCACTCACACTCACAGACACTCACTCACACTCTTAGACAAACTCATTCACACACTCACACACACACACAGACACAGACTCACTCACACACACACTCACACACTCATAGACACTCACTCACACACTCACAGACACAGACTCACACACTCACAGACACAGACTCACACACTCACAGACACAGACTCACTAACTCACACAGACACAGACTCATTCACAGACACAGACTCACTCACACACTCACAGACACAGACACACTCAGTCATTTACACACTCACAGACACAAACATACTCACTCACTTCACTCACACACTCACAGACACAGATTCACTCATTCACAGACACAGCCTCACTCACTCACTCAAACACTCAGACACAGACTCACGCACACACTCAAACACTCAGACACAAACTCACTCACACACTCACAGACACAGACACACTCACTCACCCACACACACAAATGCGACAGCATCTGACCTCAGTGAGAACCTTTCTCAATCGGCTCTGCTCTTTCCGACCGAAAACTCCCCCCCCCCACCTCCCTCCCCCCCCCACCCCCCTCCTCCCCTCTTCTCGAGGCAAAAATGAAAGCCTTATGTTTAAACCAAGGCTGCAAACCCCTCGCTTATTTCCAGTTACAACGGTTTTATCGTCGCCACAGACACACACACACACACACATTAGCCCCAAGTCTTGACTTGGAAACCGAACCAGTCAGTTGTTTTATTTATGTGGCTTTTGTTTTGCCTTTCCCGCTGCTGTTTATCACGGGCATCACAAATCACTGCAGTTTAGCATCGGGGGCGGGGGGTGGGGGGGGGCTTTTAAAGCAGCGGAGTGTGTGA